GGCGGTGGTGTTCCTGAGGCTGGTCTCGGAAGTCACCACACTTCAGACGACTCTCCCTCTGACAAAAGAGATGATTACTGGGTGCGCTTTGAAGCAGAAAAGTCCTGGCACGGAAGGACTTCTTCGGAGACGATACCCGTCCTCTACCACCAGGAAGGCCGATCCAATCTGATCTCGACGACGTGCGGATCACCCATTGCACCTTCATCGGGGAGGTCTATCGCGATTCCCGTGATGTATATGCAAGCGGCCATCGGGTGAGGACACACAAGTTCTGGACCGGGGTTACTATCCTCTATGACAAGGGTTGCGCGCCTAAAAGAAGGCGCCCCTCTCCTAAGAAGCCGCTTGATGAAAATCTTGTATGGAGCTCGAATGGGTCGATATGATTTAATCCGACCTGTACAAGCGCTTGCTAGCAGAATCACAAAGTGGAATCAACTGTGCGACAAGAAGCTTCATAACTCCACTATGGGTGGGTTGGCGACCGATCTGATATGATTGAAGCTGTCACCTACTGCGATGCTGGTCTCGCTGGTGACCGAACCGACGCAAAGAGCACCTCTGGGGTCCTCGTTTGCCTCGTTGGCCCCCGCACTTACATGCCCATCACTGCCGTGAGCAAGAAACAAACGTCTGTCTCGAAGTCCACTCCTGAGGCTGAGATTGTCGCTCTCGATCACGGAATATCAAAGGAAGCCATGATGCTCGCTGCCCTCTGGCACTTTGCCATTGGCCGCGGTTCTTCCGACTCCATCGTCTGCAAGTGCAAAATAAAGTACGACGCTTCGATCCCACAACCCAGCAGTGTCCTCGAAGACAATGAAGCTGCCTGCAGGATCATCGTCACAGGAAACAATCCCAACATGCGATACATGTCCCGCACACAACGGGTCGATATCGCATGGCTCAACAAGCGCTACAACGACAAGATATTTCGATTTGTAGCGTGTCCATCTGACTATCAAGGAGCTGACATCCTCACCAAAGCATGCGTTGACAAGATCGTGTGGAGCAAGAATCTCCACACCCTCGGGATGTTGAAGCAGGGGTTTATGCAATCATTTCCCACCCCACCCAACCCGCGCGTAATCCTCCTGCTGCTCCTGCTCTTCCACCAATCAGGTGGGTTCGCACTGAATCCGATCCTGAATCAAAATTCAACGCTTTCATCAACGATGCTATGCTCATTGAATGCCGGGCATCAATCAACGAAGTTAGGGCGTCTGAGAACGACAGCCTGACAATCGTTGTTGACTCCTCCGTCTTACCATTCCTGCCCCCTCAGAGTCGTTCAACTCGATCTCGATGATGGCTGCACCGGAGGGATCGCTACGTATCCTGGGATAAAAGGAAAAAGAGTTAATTTTGCCGTTTTCAGCATTTTTCCTTCTTGCTCGGATTCCTGCAAAAGGGATTGGTCCAAGCTCAGGAAATTCCGTCAGAAATGCGACGCGCTTACTGCTTCCACCCTTTCCTTTGCCCTGAGTGCCCTTCATCATGATTTTGGTATTGTTCTCGGATATGGTGGTCACCTCCCTGGACTTAGTATTCAACGAATCCGTCAATTTGTTGACGAGCATGACCTATATAGGTCTCATCTTTGCAGTTGCCAGATTGGAGCTCATGGTCACGCCACTATTATAACCCTTGCCGTGAACAAACGGACCGATGACCGTATGCGTTTGATTTCTTGCCCCACTTCGCTTCGCAATGGGAAGAACGACTGCTCGTTTCACAATGTTGCTTGGGGGAAGATCTTTGAGAAGTTGTTTTCTTAGAAACCCCCGTTCTTTCAGCGCCTTGTCAAACGTGTTGCTCGCAGTGCCCATCGAGACGATTCAGAGCAAACAACATGACGCTTTTCGGCTCCTGCAGCTGAGACCGGCTCCTTCGGGAGCCGACATCAGATTACCACGATTGCAGTACCACCTCACGACTATTTCAAACTTCCCCCACACACGGGGCAGTGACTTTGTCATGATGATGTTGGCGTTTCTTGCGATTAATGTTCATTTCTCCCATTCTGCAATTTGTACCTCAGCGTTTCACATTTCTGTGTGAACCGGAGTGCTGCACGTAGCTGCCTCGCCTCGCGCGCTGGGCCGCTGCTGCGCCATCTCCCGGCCCGGGTGACGTGTCCTAGACGGACTTTCCACCCCGACCGTGGCCGCTGATCGGCTGCTGGTGGTGTGCGGCCATTGGTGATCTTCATCACCCTCCTGCACCGTCATCGGCGGTTGCCTTGAATCACTACCCGTTTTCGTTGATCCTCAACGTGGATTTGGTGGTATGACATCCGTGGAAAGCGGGTCAATCACGGGGACTGGGGCTGAGGTGCTATGCGGGCATCAGGGATGTAATGAGTAGCGGAGCCACGGACCGGGATCGCGTCGCGCAGCAGCTGTTAGGGCATTGCGCTCGGTCGCGACGAGCCCAGAGTCCTTGAGCAGGGCAACGATGTTAGCCGCCCTACCTCTCCGGTAGTTGAGGATCTTGGTCTTCACATCCTCCGAGAAGGAGTCGTACTTGTCGCACTTGATGAGACCATTGATCATTGTCTCCACTTGCCCAGTCAGCACATCGCTCAAGCGGGCAGCCTTAAGGTCTGCACGACCGTTGAGTTTGGAGACCCATCCGTTAAAAGCTGTTATGCAGGATGTTGGCCACGGTTTTGACGCGGCCGGTGACGGGGTAGGGGAACTGCAGCATGGACGCGCTGGGGGGAGTAGGGGGTCGACGGTTTACCCCTGCAGCAAGCCATCCGGCGGGGGGAGTGCGCGCTGGCCAAAAAGCCGGAGCCCGCTTCTACGGCCCCCGCCTGCTCGGAAACCGGCGCTCCGCACTTCTGGAGGCAGTTCACAACCTGCGGATCCGCCGAAGGCTCCCCGATGGGGAGGGCCTCTGGTGCTGACTCCTCCTGGACAAGATGAGAGCATCCCGCAAGGCTGCCGAGGCGGCCAAGAAGAAGGCTGAGGAGCTGAAGAAGTCGAAGGGCGCCGAGAAGAAGGATGCTCCCACGCTTTCCACTGTCAAGGAGAAGAACGACGACATGGATGTTGACGAGGTTGGCGCGTCGGAAGCACCGACCGCCCCCGAATGGACGTTTGGCTCAAGTTTTGCAATCCCCCGTCAGTTTGTGTCTGGTATCACTTGCGGGCGCCATACAACGGCAGCCGTCTACTTCATCGGGAAAAGGGTCTGTAGGAGGTACCCGGTGGTGCGTCAGTGCTTGCTGGGGCCCGATTGTGAACTTAATCCTCTTTAACTTGATTTCCAACATCCCCAAACCTCAACCGTCACTTCCTCAACCCGGTCATCATCCACAGCTTCACCTGAGTTGTGTTACCGGGCGCTGTGGGCACTTTGTGATCCACTTTGTGCTCATTTGCTTCCCTGGGCTACTTCGTGTTCGCCCAAAACCGCAAAAAGCAACTTATTAGGGATCAACAAACTTATTAGCGATCAATAAGAAAAACTTCTTCTCATTCCTATGGGGAGAAGGAAGGAAGGAAGGAAGGAAGGAAGGAAGGAAGGAAGGAAGGAAGGAAGGAAGGAAGGAAGGAAGGAAAAAAGGAAAAAAGGAAAAAAGGAAAAAAGGAAAAAAGGAAAAAAGGAAAAAAGGAAAAAAGGAAGGAAATAAGGAAGGAAGGAAGGAACGAGGGAAGGAAAGGAAGGAATTCCAGGAAGAAAGGAAGAAAGGAAGCAAAGAAGCAAGGAAGTAAAGGAAGGCAATCTGAAACATTTTGAGAGGTTCTCAACCGGCTTCGGGAATCGGCGGATGCACCCTTTGTTGAATCATCACTTCTTCGATCATCATGGGGAGGCTGCCGCCCCGCCCAACCCCCCCGCTGATTTCTAGAATGTTTACAAAGATTAACACGACCCTTTGTTGAATCATCACTTCTTCCCCCCCCCCAACCCACCTGCTGGTTTTTAGAGTGTTTGCAGAGATTAACGCGCCCTTTTGAATCATCACATCTTCGATCTTTCTTTCTTTCTTTCTTTCTTTTTTTCTTTCTTTCTTTCTTTCCCCTCTCTCTCTCTTTCTGTCTGTCTATGCTGCGCCTGCGACAAGCTGTGCGCCGTACCTTGGAAAGTGCTGCAACTGCCGCAAAATCTGTGCCGTACCTTGCGAAAGTGCTGCGCTTGCCGCGAAATCTGCACCGTACCTTGCGTACGTGCTGCGCCAGACGCGAAATCTGTACCGTGCATTGCGATTGCGCTGCGCCTGCCACGAAATCTGTATTGCACATTGCGAAAGTGCTGCGCCTGCCGCGAAATCTGTGCCGTGCATTGCGAAAGCGCTGCGCCTGCCGCGAAATCTGTACTGCACATTGCGAAAGTGCTGCGCCTGCCGCGAAATCTGTAGCGAAAGTGCTGCGCCTGCCGCGAAATCTGCACCTGACCTTGCGAAAGTATTGCGCCTGCCACGAAATCTATACCTGACCTTGCGAAAGTGCTGCGCCTGCCACGAAATCTGCACCTGACCTTTCGAAAGTGCTGCGCCTGCCACGAAATCTGCACCTGACCTTGCGAAAGCGCTGCGCCTGCCGCGAAATCTGCACCTGACCTTGCGAAAGTGCTGCGCCTGCCGCGAAACCTGCAGCAAAAGTGCTGCGCCTGCCACGCAATGAAGGAGTTTTTTTTGATTTTTGACAAGTTTTTTTGATGTGTTGAGTTTTTTGACCCCTAAGAATATTTTTTGATCTTCAGGAATAAGTTTTTTTTGGATGCCTAAAAGTTTTTTTTGATCTGTCACCCTTAGCAAACTCCCAGGAGAGGAGACACCTACAGTAAAGAAGCAAACTATGCTCGCTATCGCGCTGTCCGTTTAACATGGATTGCGGGAACATCCCGGATTCTACCCTGAAGAGTAAGAGTCCAACAAAGGCAACCGTTCCCAAGAGTCCTTCCCCGAGGGGGTCGGCGGCCGGTGCCTTTTTTGAGACACTGGTGCTTGCTGGCTGACGGCAAGTGTGCGTGTCGTGCGTGCCAGCATGAAGCGCTACACTTTGCGAGTTGAGTGGAGGCCAACCCCTGCCGGAAATTCACGTGGCTTTTTGCAGATCCTGCTGGCGTACCCAGACATTGTGAGAAGCTTAGAGTGCCAGAGTGCCGGGCCCACTAGGATTCTGAGATGTTTTGCAGTGTGGTTCACCACTTGAGACCTCACCAAGGCTGGGACATGATTGCCAGCCTGCTACTTTTTCTGCAGCTACTCTATTTGCCAGCGACTCAGCGTTTTGTTAAAGACAAGTGGCCTTTGCAGGCAATCACGCGTCAGGCCGTTTCAGACTGCCTTCATCACGGAAGTCGACCTTCAGGAAGCTCAACAAATGGTGCTTCCGGGTTCCGCTGTCGGCCTATCGGCCTGTCGGCCTATCGGCCTCTCGGAGGACTCCGGCGTGGGCAAGATGATCGCCGTTCTGCTTGTGGCAGATCTCTTTTTCGCTTTGGATTTGGCCGGCTCCTGAGCTCCTGTGTGACCGCGGGTCTCGCGCATGTGCGGCTCAGGTTTTGAACTTCACCACGGGATTCCGGGACTCGATGCAAGAGTGAGCCTTAAGAATTGAGCCTTCCTTGAGCCATGTTCACCCGTGTAGGAATGCCGTTCGGGCAGGTCCTACATCGAGATGGTCGGTCCATCGCCATGAACTACTTCAGGTCTGATGATTGAAGTGCTTGAAAGAAAGTGCCCCGGGCCAGGTCTTGGTTCTTCATTGACTTCTTCGCCACCATTCCATCACTAGTGACAGAGTCTCTCGTGTTGGTCCGTTGCTCTTGCACTTTGCTCTTCTGGCCGGCAGGATCCACGTGGTCATCGTCAGCATGGACAAGCCACAGCCCGAGGTCAGACGGGGGAGGGCGAGTGTCGAGTGCCTAGGTCTGCCTACCCGAGGCTCGGCTTTTTTCCGGCTCGCATGTTCGAGACTTCCGTCTCCCGGCCTCTCCTTCGGCTTGCCAAAATTTGGAATCAACCTGAAGTACCTGAAGTGCAGTGCAAAGCTGGGTTCGGGCACAAGGCTCTCAGACATGCGAGGGGTAGACATCCGCGCAGAGTCCTTGTTTCTTGTTCAGGATTCTCAGGTAAGGGCCAGAGAGTTTATGGCTTATCGTATTCCTCAGCCTCAAACTTCCCTCTCAAACTCGGGGAATCGACGGCTACTCTGACACTTGCTCAAGCCGTTTTGCATCTTTGGGACTGGTTGGACAGCAACAGTGGGACCACAAACCTCCTTTTGCTTCAATTCTTCCCTTCCCTTCTTTCTCTCTTCCCTTTCGTTTGTCGTCTTTCTTCTTTCATATTTCCCTTCCAACTCTTTTCCTTTTTTTGCCCTTCAACTCATGTTCATCTCTGTGTCGGCGGGTGAACAATCCGACACTTTGGGACTTCTGCGTCTCAATGATAGGAAGAGCCGACATCGAAGGATCAAAAAGCAACGTCGCTATGAACGCTTGGCTGCCACAAGCCAGTTATCCCTGTGGTAACTTTTCTGACTCTGATTTCATGCCTTTTTTTCATGCCTTGATGTTTTGATGTTCTCGTTTCGTAGGCCTTTGTGGTGGCTGAGCCTGTCGCCGCTGGTGCGCTTACCGCGGCTGCGCCACGCCCTGCTGATGCTCCGCAAGCTAGAGGCAAGTCGAGCATGTGACCGGAGTCCGGAGTCGAAGAGCCGACACAAGTTGGAAACACGGTTTTGTTTAGCTTGGGCAAGGGAAAGCCAGAGAAAAGGCAAGGCGGGAGAGATGCTGGAAAAGTGGAGGAAAGAAGGGAAGACAACTCCGAGAGGGGACATGCACAGAGAAGACGGGAAAAGAGATTGAGACAGATGAGAGAATAGCAGAGAGTAGTTAGCACAGACAGAGAACGCAGAGATTGTGAAGCGACTTCTGTCACAAATCTAAGACGCGCTTCGTGAAACACACAGCTCAAGAGAACTTGTGCTCTTGTGTTCTGAAATAAGCAGGCAAGTTGGGCATCTACCTTATAACGCGAACGGAGTTCGCGAAGTAAGCGCGTTGGAGGAACGTAACAAGCGGGAGTTGGATACGAGTTCCAGGTCGAGCATGGTTGGAGTTTGTGAGGGAGTTTTGATCGCAATGTTGGACTTCGGAGAGCCGTTGCCGGTGCCCGGCACGGAGAAAGCGAAGCCAAGAGCATCGAGCCGGCTAGGATCTCGCTTGGTCTGTCTGTTTTTGTCTTTCCTTAGGCGCACCTGAAGTCCAGCTTGTACTCCTCGATCTTTGCCCTGGTGGAGTCGGGGCCTTGCATCGAGCCGGCTGGAAGCCCGCTCCGGCAAATCAGCTGAATTGTCAGCCTCAGTTACTGAGTTCCTTCGATGCCTTGTTCCTTCAAGTCGCCTTATCAGTTTCACTCGTCGCGTTCCCTTTTTCCTTTTTTGCCCTGTTTCTTTAATGCTTTAGCTTGCTGGGCGGGACCCTGATTAATTGGTTCTGTCATGGACACGGGGCTGGCCCTAGGGGGCACCCTTTGCAAGCTTGGAAAAAGCTTTCCAGAGCAAGACGTTTGCAAGTTTTAGGCCGGCGCGAACCAATGTCGAAAGGTGCCCTGCAAGGTGGGTGTTTGAAATGGGATTGGGATGTCATTTGCTATTTGAGCCACGGCCTTTCGTGAATTTCGTGAACAAGACGCCGTTTGGCCACCTCCACTACAGCAAAATGCATCAACGCAAAGAGGGAAATAGGGGAGCTTCAATTGCAGAACTCCGCATGTTCCCCTTCAAGTCTGATGATCATGAAGGGCGTTTGCTTGGTAAATGGTTGTTGTGTATCTCTCCTGGTGCGGGATGAAGTTTGCAGCTTTCAATGCCTGGGGTCGAGGCATAGGAGACTCTAAGAACGCTTTCATTTGCTTCACGTTTTCATCTACGACAGAAAGATGTCGCGCACACGCTGTCGTAGGCCAATGTTCGCGCATCGCGCACGCACCGGCGAGCGCATACACCCCGATAAAGCTCTCCTGACACCCCGCGCCGCTCTGATGCACGGCCAGTCGCAGCCGCTCGCAGTGCCAGGGTTGCGGTGCCGGCGCAAAGCAAAGCCAACGTCCAACTTATCCTATCGCCCACAATCCCCTGTGACCATGTTGACTATGCGGTTCTTTCTACCTGCCTTTATGAGGCCTTTCTTAGTATAGACATCAATGGGTTTGGGGAGCTGCTCGCTTACAATTTGTGATAGTTGTGCCCCATACATTGTCAGTGTTTCAGGCGAGCAGCTTTTTTCGTTACACACCTTTTTGTCTTGAGCGCAATAGAAATGCTGCGTTTGTGTGCCATGTCACGTTGCGCAGCATTGAGGTGGTCCAACGCATCGTTTGCAATACTCGTGGCCCTTCATCGCGAAATGATGGAGGAACTGAATTCAGTGGCCCTGTATCTGATTGGAACTGTGCAGTTGAACTCTTTTGATGTCCGGACCGAGTTCCTTGAGCCCAAATTCGGATATATTCCCTTTCCTTCGACTCGTTTTCGAGGCTATTCATGCTCCCTGTGGTGTTCTCGCACCTCTCCGTGCCGAGCCCAGTCTCTGGGTCTGCTGTTCTGAACGCTCATTTTGGGTTCGGTTTCTTGGTTCTTTTGCTTCTTTTGGTTCCTTTGGTTCTGAGTTCTGACTGAGGCCTGCGCCCTGTGGGCACTGGGCCGAAGCAACCTGGATCACGACGCAACTGTGGGCAGCTGGATCAAGGCACGCGATTTCATGCGACACGGGCTTACTTTCACGAGCTTGTAAGCTGGACGATATATTCACCAAATCATCTGAAAACGGGGTGTCACCAGAATCCAATGTCACTTGGGACGCGATGAGGTTGACCGTAGCCCATACCCTCCTTCGTTTTGAGCTGGGTTTCGCTCTTTTGCTTCACTTTCACTTTGCACCTCGCCTCACTTCGGCACTTGTCCGAGTTGGGGCTGGATATCTCGGACGATCCCGGGGCGCTGCAGGTCATCGGCCCAGAATGACGAAGCGAAAAGACGAAGAGAATAGGAAAAGAGCGAAAAGAGAAAGTGTGAAAGAATAGGAAAAGAGAAAGACTGAGCTCCGATTTAAGCGAGGGACCCCTGAGGCCGTGCCGGTGGGTGAAAGATATATGACCGCCATGTACTTTGCCGTGACAGCAACGGCCTTAGCGCTCGTAGCGCTCGTAGCACTCGTAGGACTCGTAGCACTCTTAGCACTCTTGGCACTTTGCGCATTGAAGCCAGAAGTTCAATCAGATAAGGTGATGTCTACTGTGGGCTTGGGGGACATTAGCATGAACCTGTCCAACGAGCGGGCCCTGCTGTGTGTCATCATGCCGGGTCCCCAGCTTTCCCATCAAAATGTAGACGGCCCGTTCAAATCACGTCGAGAGTCAGACTCCGTGTGAAGCGGGAAGACACTTCTTGAACTCGACGAGTTGGGAGTCGAGTTGCGAGGGCCACGACGAGTTTGGTGGTGGGCGTCGCGGTCAACGGCGTGGCGACGTATGCGCCTCAAGACTCGAACGACTCGAACGACTCGAACTCGAATTCTCGAGTATCTAGAGATGTCTAGAGATGTCTAGAGGTAAAGGGCGTTGCGAGAGACCAGCTTAGGATCGTCTCCAAGTTGAACGAGAGGACAAGACACGCGTCCAGTTCTCTGGGCTCTGCGGCTCGTCAGGACAGCGGTGACCAACGAGCAGCTCGCCAAGGCACAGTGCGAAGCGGGAAAAGCGGGAACGTGCCTCTGGAAAGCGCCGAACAAAAGACTGAAGAACAAAAGTGCAACTTGAAAGTGGAGAACAAAGTGCAACTTCAGAATTTCGGGAGGTCTCGCGCTTCTTGAAGATCTACAGCGTCCCTGGCGACTTGCAGCGCCGGGTCTGGGCCCCAGACCCGCCGGAATCGAAGCGATTCGAAGCGATTCAATCCTGACCCGAAGCCGTGTGCCCGAAGGTGCACGCCTACCTCGTACAGTTCTTCGAGAACCAGGCCCAGTGACGCCACGTGACGCCGCGTGCTGCCAAGTGGCAAGTGATGCCAAGTGACGCCCAGTGACGCCACGTGACGCCACGTGCTGCCAAGTGGCAAGTGATGCCAAGTGACGCCCAGTGACGCCA